AGAACTGAGCGTGAGTTCCTCTGGTTCAGGCTTACTTTTTTTTTTTTCTTTTTGCCAAGGACGCTGCCGGCGCTGGAAGCTGTGGGAAATATTTGCAAAAATTCCCCAAGTCAAGGGCTAAATAAACTTTGTCGCCCCGCCCCGGCAAAAGAGCAAAAGTGTTTGGCAACTGCACGAAGTAGAAGGCCCCTCCAGACTCCTTCCAGTTTTTCCCTTTTTGCTTTCTCCTTTTTCCCCTTTTTCCGCCCACTTGGCGCCACTCCTTGCTGGCTTTCAGCCTCTCAAAAAATGTCTATCAATTTGAGCTGCATATCCTTTAGCCATAGCTCACTGTCGGCAGCTTGTCTGCATCTCCATGCACCCCCTCGCCCGCTCCTTGTCTCTTCCGTTGTGCGCTCAGTGGGGAAAATTTATTGAATTTATAATGCATATTGCATGCAAAATGTATGCGTTTTCCACAGTCCTCCTTCTAAGCTCTCGTCTCGAGCCTTTTTGCTGTCATTAAATGTTGTGCAATGTCACATTTTGGTATTGTTCTTGTGTGTGGAAATGGCTTTTCAATTTGATTTCTTCATGTAGGAACTTCACGTGGAAAAACTCTAGAAATTCTCATAGAAATTCTGTGAAGCATTTAGGCAATTTCCGTAGTTATTTTCCGATTGAATTTATGATTTAGGGATTCCATTTCAAAGGCCAAAAACTAACTTATTCTATTATTGTTCTGCTTTCAGGTATGTCAACAACAGCCATTTGTAGGAGCCAGGTAAAGCGAGGTAAACTCCTTCGAGTGGCAGTCGAAAATGAAGCCAAAAATTGCCCATTGACCCACTGGGCCGATCGCCGCCACATTGGATTTTTGGCTAATTACCTTTATGGCCGGGCCAAGTCTCGGCTCTGTGTGTTTGTGTCTGTTTTGGACACATTTCCGAACTGCTCTCAAATGACCCATTAGGCTGGGAGCCAGCCATTAACTTCTAGCCCAATGACCCCCGTGCCACAGCCAGAAAGATATAAACAAAAAGAAACCAAATTAAAATTAGAAATGGAAATATTCAAGCGAGGAAACAAATGAAACACTGGAATTGCTCATAAAACAAAATAAATAACCAATTAAGAGCGGCTATGGGCCCCCTTCCCCCAGGGAAATATCCCACGAAAATCCAGTGCGAATTTCATTAATTAGCCATAATGTTTGGTGCTGACCCATCGGCTATTGGCATATCAGAAACACATGTCGCATGTCATGTGTGCCAAATGTGGCATGCAACATTTAACTGCAGAACAACAGCCACAACAGCTGCCACAGTGGCAGAACAGAGGCAGGAAGCGGCAAAACAGAGCCATAAACGCGGCCTAATTGCCAGAGGAATGCCAGAAGGTCGTGTCGGGTTGTGTCAGTCTGTGGCCCAGCGGAATGCCACTTGGGGGGGTACGTCAATACACTTGGAGAACAAAACATTAGATAGGATATGGCAAAGGACTTGTCACCGAGATGCTTAAGTAATTGAATTTAATTTAAATTTGTCCACGCTTCAACAAGCTTAAGGTAAACATTTCGAAATGCTTTCGATTTTTCTTGAACCCATTTTGGAGGCAGTTTTCCCCGAAGTGTAGAGCTCGGGCCTCGCACATAGCTTGGACTCTCTGGCGTACGGCCCGTAAATTGGAGAAGAGCCCAGATTAACCGTTAATGGCCACGAGTGGTGGAGGCTGCTGCCACGCTTTTTGATTTTCGGCATTTAGTTACGCTTCCCAACACCAAGAAAAAATACAACTGTTTGTCGGGCGGTCAGTCGGTCGGGCAGTCAGTGCGGGGAGCCATACGAGTATCTCCCCCATCCTTCCCATTCAACTCGATTGACTCGTTTTTTTGGGTATTTTGTTTCCCACTTGTTTTCTTGGCCAGGCCAAGACATAATAATGATGTTTGATGATGCGGTAACTGAACTGCCGATGCCGATGCCGTATTTCGTGCCGTTTGCCTGCCACTGGCAATTTGCCGATGTTTATATGCCTATTTGATGCCGTTTTTCAACTTGGCTTCATTCTGCGATTCCAATTTCAATTGACTTGTACAGTTTGCTCTTGGAAATGCGAACCAAAATCCTGCTCCACAGCCACCAAAACCCCAAGATAAACACAGATAGTGTTGTCGATGTTGCTTGTTGGTGGTTGGCGACGAATGCTGCAGGGGATTGCAGCTGCATGGAGTTGTAATCTGATTCCAGTATATATCTGGAATCCCCAGAGATGCACACAGCCTCCAAAATGAGTTCGGGTAATGGAATGCAATTTGTGTTGTTGCAGTCATTAAGTGGAATTGATGTTGACAGGCTCTGAAATTGGGATTAATATTAGAGTTTTTGCGTAAACTTTTCTAAAATAAAATGGAAAAAGCATGTCCTTAATGTTTAAATAAATCTTTTGAAATAAAATAATATCTAATCTATGAATCACTCATGGTATTTCTCCTTGCACAAATATTTAACAAAATACAACACCATAAAACAAGGGCACAAAGAGGTTGCAAACAAAATACGAGTACTAAATTGACACAAGTTACAACACAAATAAATAAATAAATAACAATGAAAACAACAAATCAAGCTGAAGTCATGCGTATTAAATACCAACGAAAAACAACAAAAAATCAAATGCAAGGAAAAAATTCAAATCGACGCGCACGAAACTAAGTTGCAGGCAATCATTTGGAAATAAAACAAAAGCTGAAAAAATCAAGAGTACAACTCTAGTTGTGGGGAACGAAGTAGGAAATACCCTTTGGGATCTATGGTTTCTATATAAGCTGGAGATCTAAGAGTATTGGTAGCTGTGGTTTTACATAAAGATCAGCTAATGTAGGTAAATCGTTTGTATTTCGATTTCTCTAGTTAGTCAAACTTCTAGCATACCCTTTAATACCCTATAGGGGTATCACAACACACACAAACGTGGATCTGCAGCATAGTGTAGCTACGTATGTACATGTCTACGCAGTCACGATTAAGTGCTCGTGTATGTCTGTCTGTGTTTATGTTATTTAGCTCTGCGTAAACGGTTTCGGTTAGTGATTCATGTTGCTAAATACAGCTATATTAAAGCGGACATTTATCGCCATCGATATCTTTCACTCGCAAAACCCGAACAAAAAAACTAAAAAAGATTGTGCCACTTGTGTAATTATTCCATTTGACATGCGGGGAGTGCTGTCTGCAAGGGGTGGGGATTCGGATTGGCTTCAATTCGTGTCGAGGGGGGGTCTGGGGACACACTCTTTGATTTACAACGATCAGGGAATGGAATCAGTGCAACTAACAGTGCAACCTGTTTCGGTGTAAGGGGCACACACTGGAAAACCAGTCTCAAATGCAGCCTGAAAATTGGTCCGCAAATAGTTTTCCTCCTCCTGTATCCCACAGCATCCATCCACTACCCACTGACCACAGCATCGACATCCAGCGAACGAACGGGACACTTAACGTTTTGGCCATTGACAACGATTAAAAACAAGTTCTCTCCGCGGTTCTCTCCCTCTTCCTTTCAGCAGATGATGAAGCGGGAGACCGGGAGTGGGACTATGGACTGGAAACGAAACCGGGACCAGGGCACTTGTCCACCCAGTGGACGTCGCGCGCTCACTTGTTTGCTTAAACCGTTGAACGGCCTCGCCTCGCCTCGCCACGACTTTGTTGCCACGCTTCCTCTTCCACTCTGTCCCGCTGGCACAGAATCCATCCCCCTTTGTCACAGCCGCTCCCACCCATTGCTGCATCGCTGACCCACATACAAAAGACATTCAATCGACGACGAACTGTTTTCTTTGTATACCCTAACAAAGAGTGTAATTCGATTTCGATCAGGCATCGCTTATCGCAGGGTAGAGAGCATTTCCGATCAGCATGTGCTTAATTTATCTATCAAGACTCCATCTACCGATTGGTTAGTAATTGATTTGTTAGCAATATATTCAAGATTATATCAAAACCAATACTTATGTTTACCCGTCTTATGCCAAGTAAGAGCATACATATTTCGTGGCACTGAATTTGACCCTCCTGAATTTTTTCGATTCTCTTTTGCCTCCTCCCGCCTGACCGGTCGCTTCGCTTTTATGGCCTTGAGTGGCTCGGGTATTATGATTCTGATAAAAAGCTTGCTCAAGTGTGGCCAAGGAGTCTTCTAGTGGCTTTATTTGAATGTGTGTGCAGGGGCGGATAAGGTCGAGTCAACACTTGAAATTGTAAAACTTTCTTGCCAAAGAACTTAAAGTTGATTTAAAAGTATAGAATGCCGGAAGGTATCGATCGTTTATAGTCGAAGGGTACCACCGAGTCGTTACTGCTTTGTTAATCCTTCGTTTCTTGTTATAAATAAACATGAAACGTCACAGCATGGAAAAGGAGACAGGTAGCCAGCTTCGTGGAGGGGTGCGAGGGAGTGTGCTGAGTGTATGAGCTTGTGTCTGCGATGATTTACAGTTGTGGCCTGCTATGCGCACACACATACCTGCAGAGAGAGAGAAAGAGAGGGAGACAGTAAGCTGAACCAGCGAGAAGCTTAACTGAAGAGAGCATCGGAGTCTGTCTGTCTGGCTATCCTCTTCTTCATCGTCGGCTCTCCTGCCTGGTGATTCTGTGCCCATTTGAACGTTACTTACACATATCACATACATATGTATGCATGTATGTACACACATCAGAGGAATAGTTGGCTTGTTAGCCAGTGTACGGTACTTTGCTTTCATACAGGTGGATAGACATAGAGACAGAGAGAGAGAAAACAAAATCCCAAAGTCTATGTCAAAGCGTGGTAAAATGTTTCAATTTCGATGCGGAATAAAGAGAATATGCAAGGGCAGAGGCATGTGTAAGGGTTGAAGGGTTTAATTGAACGTTTCTTTAAATATACTGTACTGTAATGTACAACTGAAGGAACAGCAGGGTACGCTCTATCAGTCTCTTAAATTGTCAAAACATAGCCACAAACAATATCCTAAATTCATGAAGATCCGTAATGTGTTCATGGTTGGATTTGGCGTCTTCCCCTCGATTGTCGGTCGTCCTTGGCATGTGTAAATAAATCGTTTCCCATGAAGGTGACGATGCGCAGGAGTCCCGGGGTACGCTGCCCCTGCGGTATCCCATTGAGCGGGGCATTGTCATTGACTGGGATGAAATGGAGAAGATCTGGGCCTACTCCTTAAACAGCGCCCTGAAGGTCGCACCAGATGAGCATCCTGTACTGCCGCTAAACCCGAAGGCAAACTGCGAAAAGTTGACCCAGATCATGTTCGAGAAGTTTGACACGCCGTCCATGTATCAGCCTTCCAGGCTGTGCTCCCACAAAATGCATGTGGGTACATGCCAAATAAATATGGGAACTCTTACAATACAAATTTTGGTACCATCTGTCACTAAGGAACTTCAAAAATCTCCTTTGAAATTCAACTTAAAGTCTGTTGTCTAAGAACTCCTATAATTATTTTGTCAGCACATTGATCCCCAATGCGAATTGCAGCGAAAATGCATTCGATGAGTTCCCAGAGAGCTCAAACAAATATGGGAAAATGTATTCAAATTCAGGGCAATGCGTATGGGGTGGGGGCGGGTCTTTGACCCGATCTCGGGAGGCTCTTACAATCCTCGTCCCCTTTTGGGTAGAGGGTAACCACCACCCTGTCGTTGGCAATCAAAAGCATCGTTTGTTTTGGACTCAGAGGCGACTCTTCAACTAAGCGAGATGGTACAATGAACTTTTGCCGGGACTGTACAGAAGGGGAAGCTGTGAAACGGGGGACTCTGACTTTTGCAAGGCAAGCAAAAACATCAGAGAGGAGACCAGGGCAAGGCTGACTCTGTTGCGTCGACTGCGGCTGTTTGCATTTAAATTTTTCACATTCAATTCATTTGAGGCGGCTCGACGGAGCACACACAAAAAAAAGGAAAAAAGAAAAAAAGATGAAGAAGAAAACTGCAAACAAAGTTACAAAGGCAAAAGGGGTTATGAGAAGGGAAAGCGGCGGCTGAGAGCCAAGCTAAATGCTGCAGAAATGAAGCTAATACTTATGTTGCAACTAAGGCTACCCCTTACCCTTTCCCCCCACACTGTGGCACCCTCTGTGGCAGACTTCATCTCGTTCACCTGCAATGACTTGCGGGCTTCTCCATCATCATCATCATCATCATCATTCTCATACTCGCAGTTTGTTTTATTTTTGCCATTTTTCTGTTAGCCCAGAAGTTACCTTTTGTTAACGCCCACGTCAGTGCATTGTGTGGGCGTGGCAAACATATGAGAGTACAAGCTTTGTGGCGTGTGTGTTGTGTCTGTATGTGTCTGGTATGCTCGTGTTCCCATTTTATTCATTTCGCTAACTTGCTCTTTTATAGGTGTTCCTCTGCCCTCCACGAAACATCTTTGTTTCCCCTGTGGTCGCCAGCAAGCCCCTAAGGTTCCATCATCAACTACGCGTATGTTTTAGTGGGGGGAAGCGGTTAAAGGTTAAAGTGTGGACGCAATTGAAGGTAGAGTTAAGGATTGTTAAAGGAGTTGGTTCATATTAAAGGGTTCTACTAGAAGAAAGGATGATAGTAGTGGGGGAAAAACCAAATTATCAATCATGTTCATGAAAGGTCTCCCAACCACTCTCTTAATCTATTTCCACCAACGGTCTTCTCTTCCCCGACAATCCAATTAGTGAAATCATCCGGAATCGGAATCTTTCGTTTGGACAATCGCAGATCTTTTCAAAGATCTTTAAGTGCGTCTCATTAGTGACACAAACAACATTTACGCTGAATAGTAGATTTAGTTTCACTTCATTTCACCAAAAGCGAATCTTCAGCGCAAACATTTACGAGGCAAATCTATTGACAGAATTATGTGAATAACTTTCTCAAAAGCAGAAGCTGAAGCGGAGGGGAAGCAGAAGAGGAAGCAACCCTTTTTTTAGTGAATGGCCGCAAATAATTAGCACTTGAAGTGGTGGCAGAAGTAGAAGAACTCAATGAATGCCAAGGAAATTAGCAAAGTCGCATTCCAAATACTAAGCATTACAGTGCGTGGCATAACCATAAAATGGTCATTAATTCGAGGGTTTTTCCAAGCTTAAGCTGGGGGAGAGGTTTCTTATTTGTTGTTTGGTGTTCGGTTAACCTTTTACATGTTTAACCTACAACCCGCCATAGCCCTCTTCAAATGCCTTTCATTATGCTGGGCACGCATTCGCCAAGAGTTGTGGCAGAGTTTATCTGGTTGCGACGCCGTGCGCTAGTCCTAGATAAGGACCCAGCACCCATTCATTTTCGCATATTTACTTTATGTGTGACCCCAAACAAGAACGCGCCTAGGATAATATTTGGCTTGAGAACTGTGCCACGCGAAACTATTAGGCAAAGTTTTTCGATGTGTGAAACTCGTTTAAAACTGCTTCAATCCTCTTGAAAATATATTTATTCCACTTGGATGTCTATTATTCTTTATGGAACTTTTAAATTTGCTTCATTTTGCACTGTGCACCTCCTGTTCATGAAAGGTCCCTCAACCAGCAAAATATTCCCATCCGCAGTTGGTACAGAACATAAATAACGTATACATACGCCGCAGTGGACAGCCGCAAGCTCTGCTCCAGCACTATCTCTGCCGGGAACACCCCTCGACATTCACTCCATCCACTCCACTCTCTTTTCAAAGCATATTCTTTGAGTCATTTATCATGTTTCATGGCGTTGACACTTTCACTTGTTTCAGACAATAAACTGAACCAAAAAACAGACACACGAACAACCAACCAGCAAACAAAAACAACAAACACAACGGACCACAAAGAAACACAAAAAAACTGTACCATTGACAAGTCTATTTTGTATGGGTCCACGCCCCAAACTTCATGCTCGTTATGGCCCTGTCAAATTTATTAGTTTCGATATAATTTGACAACAAGAAAATGTTGTATCTACATTTACCTATTTTGTAGCCCTTAGCTATGGTACATTTATCAATGTTTTTTACCTCTGCTTTGGGTTGGTGGCACACACTTTAAGAGGGTGTTTTGATTTGGAAGAGCAATTTGGGGGTTTTGGGGCTAGGAATAAAAGTTTCTATGATTCTGACTATGTAAATTGCTTTAAAAACAAATGACTTTTAATGCACTGAATATCCAAACGTATCTCTTTGATTCATTTACAATATAACATCTCCATTGCCGTCACAAATTACACCAAAAATCGTTTCACATTTTATTATCTGCCATTAAAAGAAATTGCGTCAAGTGTATCGGCAGCGGCACTGGCAGCTTTTCAGCATTTTGTGTTCATGTTTTAACAGTGGGGCTCTTAACAGGAATTTATGTTTATTGCACGGAGACCTTGGCCAGAAATTATCATAAATTGCACTGTCATTACACACCAGCAGCAACAAAGAAACACGAAAGAAAAAAGCGAACAACATAAAGCAATGCAAAAACGAGACAATAAATACAATATAGTATGAAAATACAGTTATTTATCATAATTGCGGCTTTGCGGCGTTCATTTCAGTTCATTTCGGTTCACTCTCGTTCGGTCGCCGTCGCCGTCGCCGTCGACGTCATCGTCAGCGTCCACGTCAACGTCAGTGAAATTTTGCTTTCATCTTCGCGCGGCAGAGGCGGCAAAAACAAAAGTAAAGCGTGCAGAAAGGGGTGGCAAAAGACGAGCGAAAAAGCTCAAAGAGCAAAGCAAAAGTGAAGTGAAGTTACTTGGAGATGGATTTGAGACTCCATTTCGTGCGTGATCGTGCATGTCTTATTGGAACAATAAATGAATGCTTCATAAGAGAGGGATAGTCTCTACAGAATAGGGATAGGAAAATGTTCTCTTTATTTATATCTACTATTCCCTGCAGTACCTAAAGTAATTCCCTCTACTCCATGGCGTTGCTCTCCAAAAGCTCCCATTTCGTGTCATCCCAACTAAACTCTCTCCCGTCTCTAATGCCTTTTGTCGTTGTCCAGCTGCATTTGTCCACTTTGCTCTGGTTTATGTTTCTCTTATTTCATTGCCTTCGCCTCGCTTCTTCTTGTTTACTTTTTTCTTTCTTTTTATGTTGTTACATTTTTGTAATGCTTTTGATGTCTTCATTGTGGCGAATGAGCTCTTTTTTTATATTGTTATTATTTTTATTATTTCGCTGATGAACTTAATTAACATTTGGCACGACTTGCAATGTCAATGGCAAATCTCACTCTCTGCCTGCACTTGGATGTAGAGTGTAGCCGGTGCCTCTCCAGCAAATTAGTTAATTTCTTTGATCGCCCGATAAAGAAATAGCTTTAAGACTAATGATCAAAAATACTCGCATTCGCATTGGCACTCTATGTTGGGAGAGTTGCACTTCTTCACATGAAAGAAAGTGATTTGGGGCATACAGATACAAATTGATGATCGTTTTTCAGCTTTAAGAGTGTCTTTTATCTTCATTTGGAGTATCAGGGCGATAGCTTGTGGGGGCAGGGAACTCTCAATCGATAACTAAAAAAGTTCTTCACCTAGTTATATTTCCCATTTTCCCCCAAACATCCACTAGCACTTTATGCGCTTTACATCCAATTTGTTAATTTAGTCTCCATTCGATGACACTTACACGGGTACACACTCTCCTGCCCATTAGGCACTTCAAAATCAATTTAGCAGCAGGAAAGCGTCGGGACAAGCACACATGTACGCAGAGTCCTGCCAGTCCCATCCACATGCCACATGCCACATCGCACATTCAACAAATGAAGCCGAACGCATTGCTAACTCTAAAATACTCGACCTGAGACCTGATATGCTTCACATTTAACAAGCACTCAAGTCGGCGGGGACTGAAGCTTACGAGCCAATGCACTTAAGTTTATTTGCTTGGGGACAGGGACACAGACAGGAGAAGGCAATGAGACAGAAGCCAAAAATAGCAGTACAACATTAATCTACGGGTAACCAAGCTACTTATCGTCCAAATGCTGTGAGGTATGCACATTTGTTTACAACTCACTTGGCTGGTCACACTTGACCCTTGATCATCATGCCCATACCATCCTCAGGACTGGGTTGCGCCACTCGATCCACTCGAAACACTCCTGAGAGTCCGCTCGAGTTGTGCGCTTGAGAGTTCCCATCGGAGTGGAAGGAAGAGCCACATAAATTATTATTTGATGCCATTTTTTTATTTGGCTGATGTTTCTATTGCCATTGCTATCGATTAGTTGTCATTGGTGCTTAATGCGCTGACCTTGGCTCTGTCGTGGGGGTCTGAGGCAATCGATAAAGAATTTTCAAGTTTCAAGTCTTTCAAGCACTTCCTCTTATAATGTTTGGGGCTACAGTGCGGTACGAAAACGCAAAAGGGAGATGGGAATGTGCTTAAGAATTTATTTATTTAATTTAATTTTTATCTACAAAAAAAAATACAAAAAACTGTTTAAAAATGTTCGCTAGTCAAAAGAA